CTTACATCCATATGATGACTCATTTACTAACTCTACCTTGAGTTGATCTTGAGCCTTGTATTGGGTGAACTTTAGTATAAAATAATTTTGAGACATAGTACAGTCTAAGAAGCTTCCAGTTGTGTCAAATTTTGAAACTGTTGATCATGTTCCTAACCTAATTTTAGCCGCTCAGTAAATTAAGAAAACAGCAATTGTTGAGACACTTGTTTATTGAACAAGCTGGAATTAGAATGTCTGATCTGTTGGAGATACAGGAGCCGTCATCCAACTGGGTGCCAAAATTCTTGAATGCTGACCAGAAACAATATTCAATGGACACCTCCAAGTCACTTTTGCATAATTTTCCGCTATCTTGTGATCAGTATTTGGAATGATTTGTCATTGTTAATAATATTTATTTACACCACTATAATCCATGGATTAAACCAGGCAGATATGCAATATAATTGGCCCTGCTCTGGCATCTCGTCTACAGTCACTTTCTCACAGACGCGCCATCACCTCTCTCTGTCTGTTTTACAAATACTTTCATGGCAATTGCTTCGAGGAGCTGCATTCGCTGGTTCCCAGACTTCATGAGTTCAAGCGCCCTACAAGGCTGGCATCCCGCTCTCACCTTTTCACTGTCAAAACTCCTAAATGTAGCCATCTCTTCTACTCCAATAGCTTCATGTCTCGCACCTCTGGCCTGTGGAACTCCCTTCCCTATTCCAGTTTCCCTGAGAGCTATAATCTCCAGCTATTCAAATGTAATGTCTATCAACATCTCCAGTTGCCTTGATCTATCCACTACCCTTCTCCTCATCCTTTCCTCTATCACTCCTATCTGATCTTGCTCCAAATTTTCTGTAACCCCTTGCGTCCTAGTGGCTTCCCTCCTTCTTGGGGTGAAATGCTTAAAAAAAAATCATAGTCTATACATTGACAGTACTCCGGATTTATACTATCAAGGAAACTTATGGGGGTTGTGGTGAGGTTATCTTATGGCAACTTGTTTCCCATCATATATATATCTATACAGCCTTGCATAAGGGTTGATAGAAAATCAACAGAGAATTAATTTAAACAAAATTAAATTTTATGACACAATATATTATCGTCATTAGTGTGACTCATTGCTGAGTTTTTGAGTGCTGATCGACATTTCCATCTGTTTGAAATGAGGCCAGTGTTGGATCTGAAGAGACGTCCACAGTCACTGCATGGTAGGGTAGAAGGGTTCAGATGATGGAGAGTTCTGACTTTTCTTTGGGCTCTCTACATTTCTTCTATTTGTCTAAAATAGATGGTCTCCAATGAAGATATTTGTGCATAATGTGAAGGGCTGCTCTGCAATTAATCTCTATTTTCCCAAGAAATTAGTTTTGTCTACACCATGACCTCTTTGACCTTTGACCTAGCAACAAAATGGACTAATCATGATACTTAAATATCATCGTCATTGGCAGTAATCATTGCCGAGTATAGGTGTGCTCATCAGCATTTCCTTCTGTGTGACATGGCTTCCATGTTGGATCTGAAGAGAAGTCCTCAGCCACCGCATGGCAGGGTAGGAGGGTTCAAGGAATGGAGATCTCTGGCTTTTCTTTGAGCTCTCTTCTATTTTACTTCTGGTGTTTTTTTGTTTTTTTCGTTTTTACTTGGACTGATTTCCTTCAATTGATTCTTTCTAAAGCTTCCATCTTCCATTTGACTGAATTGATTTCTGTCCTCAAGAAGGTGTTTTTGAGCTGATTTTTGAATCAATGACATGGGGTTCCATGTTGTCTCTTGTCAGATGCAAGCTTCAAGAATAGGATTTGTTTGGATAGTCAAATGTCTGGCCATCAGGAAACTGTCCAGCCCATTGAAGTCAGTGGGAAGTCGTGATGGTTTCTAGGCGGTTCATCTTTGTGTGGGGGAGAACTTCATTGTTTGTGATCCAGTCCTGCCACATGTTCTGCAGGATTTAATGAATTTCATTTGATGGAATTTTTCAAGTATGTAGCTGTCTCTTTGGTAGAGTACTCAAGCCTGACAGTCATACAGGAGAGTCAAGATTATAACAGCTCAGTAGACCATGAGCTTGGTGGTTTGTGTTAATCCAGGATTGTTGAATACTCTTTTGAATAGCTTCCTGTATGCTGTGTGGGCAAACTTGACCAACAACTTTTTCAGCAGATGGATTTTATGTTAGTACACTGCAAAGGTATGGAAATTGTCCAACATTTTCCAGGTTCAGTCTGTTGATAGTGATTTTGACTTAATGGGGTGGTTGATATCCCAGTCGTGGTTGAGGCAGGACCATGGTGAGTCTGTACCACATGTATGCTCTGGAGAAGTTGTCTGCTGAGTTCTAGAGGTGTTAGAATTTAAATTTATTTTTCAGAAAAGTAATTAAGAACACAAGAAAAATTAAATAAAAACTTAGCGGTAGTACCTTGTCAATCATCTTTATTGATGCTTAGGTATATGCATCATATCTCCCTCTCTTTCTCTTTCTCTCTCTCTCTCTCTATCTATATATATATGTGTGTGTGTGTGTGTATGTGTGTGTGTGTAAGTTCACTTATTAAGAGTCTAGAGTCAAGATGCTGAATATAATATCAATTTACTTAGTGACAAATTTATTTGTATTAATACTATATATATATATATATATATATATATATATATATATATATATAAATTATGTTTGTATTCAGACATAACAGTTGACTGTATAAATGGTTGAAGGAAGGATGTATGTGTTTGTGCCTATGTGGAAATGTGTAGATGTCATAGTTGCCTAAGTAAATGGTAGAAGAAAGTAGGCATATGTGTATGCCTATGTCAGACTGTGTGGGTTGCACATATGTCATATTTTGGCTCTGGGTATGTTATGACGACAGCATTGAAGAATTAATCAAATTAATTCATTGATTCTAATATGATTTACCTGTCCGTCTTCTTATATAAGTATGCTCATGAGACAAAGAGATTTGTTTTGAAATCACTACTTGACTTCTAATTGGTCTACAAGACTTGAACTCATATCCTGGTTGAGAACAGACCTTGTTTCTGATTAGCTTGTCAGGCTTTGACATTATATCCTTGTCAGGAGAGTTTCTGATTAGTGAGTCAGACTATTCAGTCATATCTTTGTTGGAAGCATTTCTGATATACTCATGGAAATATGTCTTCAAGGCCTAGTGATTCTTAATATAGATCTATTTTTAGAGATGGGAAAATTTGATTTCCCAGTCTTCGTGTTTTGTGATGATAATGATTTAATAATACAAATCACATCTTAATCAATCTTCAAGCCTAGAGTTCACCATTATCTGCCCTACATGTGCCCATAAACTGTGCCTCTTGCTCTAAAACCCAGGTCTGTCATGTACTGCTCCCAAATCCTGCCACTGTGGTGGGTGGGGTCAGTTTGGTGTCTGTAGGCAGTGCTTTGTGACCCTTTCTATCTTATCAACATTTGATTTTTTTCTAGAAGATTTATAATTTAATCTAAACACTATTAAAGGATGAAAAAATGTTGACAACATCGTGGGGTCTTTTTTATTTTCGGACAAATTTACAAATTAGTTTTTCTAATGCCAAGTCTTGAAAAAAACACTCTTTAAAGCATATTAATTTTTAATTTATATTGTTGAATGTCTTAAATTATTCAACATTTTAACTATAAAAATTTGAAGTTGATTTTAAAAATTACCATAAAACAATGAAGAATCTATTATGACATATCTGTAATTTGTATCTAAATATATTGTCTTTTATTTTCAAATTTTTTATATAAATTATTCCTCTGTATTGGATATGATGCATAATTAGTCTACAATTAAATTTGTATTTTATATGAATATTACCTTCTGCAAATTGAGATATTATAGAGTGAGGGACCCATATCATAGATATAGGAGTGGGGCATGAGACCCTTGCTTTGTAACCCTCTAACTTGAGTGGTTCTTAGGCCTTGTACAGTGTGAGTATTATTGTAAAAAAAAAAAAAAAAAAAGAAAAACTTCAATTCTCAAAGTCAACAGGAAAGTCAGGGCTACAGTTTGTGGGATAAGATGATTGTTTCATATCAATCTATAGCAGAGTCAATGTCTGACACTGCTCTATTTAATTTGCTGTGCCAATCAAAAGACCATCCTGAGTAAGATGACAAACTACATCTAACAGCAAGGCCTCTGATCAGGAGCATGGAACCACCTCTTAAATGCTGGTGTTCCAGGTCCACCCTAACCCAAGATGGTAGCGCCTGTTAGGATCCCAGCTATGGGCAGATAGTTAATTCCTAAACTGGGTCGAAACACTATGAAAGTGTAAAAATATGTTTTAATACGAGCAGTACATTTTTCAAAATTATTACCAGCAATACAATTTTGAAAAAAAAAATATTACCTGCAATACATTTTTGGGAAAAAAATTTTTTCCCAAAAATGTATTGCAGGTAATATTTTTTTTCAAAATTGTACATTTTTTGGAAAAAAAATATTACCAGCAGTACATTTTTTGGAAAAAAAATATTACCAGCAGTACATTTTTTGGAAAAAAATATTACCAGCAGTACATTTTTGTAAAAAAACATATTTCCAGCAATACATTTTTGAAGAAAAAAATATTACCAGCAATACATTTTTGAAGAAAAAAATATTATCAGCAAAAACATTTTTGAAGAAAAAATTTTTTACCATTAATAAAAATTGTTGGCATTAAATAACCCATTGAGGTTGATATGCCGTAAAACAAAACAAATGAAACGAAACCAATTAAAAGAATAGTTGAAAGAAAAAAAAGTGAAGGAAGCTGCTGAAAGATGTTCTCTTTTTGCATAACAATGCACCTGTTCACAGAACTGGCAAAACAGTGAAGGTTTTTGCATTTAGGGCTCAGCCATGAGACCTTGTTCCATCTATTTTCTGTTTCCAAACCTTAAAACAAATATGAAAGGAACTCAATTGTGATGCCTCAGATCAGTAGGGTATCTGTGGAATTTGTAAAATATTGTAACATATCACGTTAAAACTCTGGTTCTCATATGATCACCAAAGTTAAACAATGTCAAGCTTGGTCAGTAGCTAGATGGGTGACCACAAGGGGATACCATGTGCTGCAAAGTTGGTTGTGCATGTGATGTAATGGATTATAGTTTGGAATTTCAGTTGGGTTTGTTATATTCACTTACAAGGAAAGTTATGAATCCACCCCTTTTCTCAGCGGCTATGGGTTAATTAGTCAGATTCATATCACAAAATCATTTTGAAAAAAGAAAAATCCTTACAAGCTAAAAGAAATAATTTCTTCTGGTTTTAAATAACCTTCAAATGGTTGAGAAGCTGTAGAAAATGAAAAAAGATGAACCAATCAAAAAAGGGTTGCACATTCATAATTAGTCATTGTCATTTATATATATATATAAATATATATATATATATATATATAAACAAAAAACAAGCATATTGACAGTTTATAACTTTTGTGCTGATTTATTGGCAAAGCTATGAAACTGGAAAATTAGGTATATGTGTAATTATTAATATATACTTTATAGCTGTTTTAGTACATTGAGCACTGTTATGTCTACATCATTGATTAAATAAATAGCTATTTCCCTACATGCAAGTTGCTAGTGGCCCACTGGCAGGCCACCAATGGCAACGCCAGCGGTGCTCTGGTGGCAGCTACCAGTGGGCCTCTATCAGTCCACAAGTGGTATCATTACTGAGATGAACATGCCAGCGGGCCAACAGTGGCAAACACTAGTGATATGCAGGGACCTGTATGTGTACGTAATCACTCATATATATGGTTGATCATATACACACACACACACACACACACACACACACACATATATATATATATATATATATACATATATATATCTATATCTATATATATATACATATATATATATATATATATATACATATATATATATATATATATATACACACACACACACACACATACATTTTATACATATATATATATATATATATATATATATATATATATATATATATATATATATATATATATACATACATATATATATATATATATATATATATATATATATACATGCACACAAACACACAGGGTGTATATATATAGCTGATATAAGATGGCATAATTTAGAAAAAAAAAAACACCTTTCTTTAATCTATAGAACAATCAGAATGACTCAACAAACAGCATATCATATCCAACTGATCTTTATATAAGGAACGATATTCACAAGTAGATCCAGAATTTATTCATCTGTATGCGTCATAGGCAAATATGCGCATCTATACACACTCTCACCGAAAACACAGGTCATCCACCTTGAAACCTAGACACAGATACAATTATACATAAACTGACAGAGTTCATATAATTTACTTTCTTCAGTGACTGACTGTTTAATTTCTTCACTTCAAAGATAATGATTTTATATCATTTGTTAAAAATAATTATCTCTACTATTATTGGAACCACAACTTCTGTTTTCTCATCCTTTTGTTCATGTACCATTTGACTTTTATTTCACCCTTTTGTTTTCACTCAGTTATCAAAAAACTATGTTGGTGAAGGCAGTTTATCTGGAGCAAGGTTTAAATGATTGTCAACTCAGCTACAAGATATTGAATTCAACCCTAGATATCTGTCTATATTTCTGAGATAAGGTATTATGTACACTATTTACATTGTTTAAACAATTGTCCTCATCTTTGTTGCCATATTTATCACAACATTTCAGCCGTTGTATGCTCCAGCCTTCTTCAGGTGGCTGGAATGTCGAACTAAACCCTTTATTTTGCTTGCTGGGGTAGATTATTCTAATTCCACATGCCATGTCTAATGGATGTCAGTTATCTCCTGTTAATTCACCTCTCCAAGTTCTCCACCGCCTTAACCAGATATTGAACTCACACATGGCACAGTGGATAAAGGTGTTAGTTGGATCCAGTGACAGGACCCAAACTGTGTGAGTTCAATACCTGGTTTAGGCAGTGGAAAACTTGGAGAGGTGAATTAACAGGAGATAACTGATAACTGACATCCATTAAACATGGCACGTGGAACTAGAACAGTCTACCCCAGCGAGCGAAATAAAGGGTTCAATTTGACATTCCAACGACCTGAAGAAGGCCGGAGCATACAACGGCTGAAATGTTGGGATAAATATGGCCACAAAAATGTGGACAATAGTCCGAACAATATAAATTGTCAACCCTAGATACGTAAGGAAAAAGAACGCAATTACATTTCTGAAAAAAAAAAAAAAAAATTAATAAAGAAAGTAACAGAAATACCTTTATTTCTTAATTATTAAACTTTTTTTACAAACCACCTTCTCTGGAAATGGAATAAAACAAATAATTTATGTGGTGTAATGGATAATAGCCTGACATGAGAAATGAGAGAGCTGAGTTTGAATTCCAGTCAGGTTCATTACATTCACTTCAGATTCAGTCCCATTCAAAAGATACCCTTGGGAAATGTTTGAAACCATCATATCCCCCATCTATGGGTTAAATTGAAGGACATACTGTATTTTATAGCCTTGGTTGGCAACCAACCTACTGAGCAAGAAATGGCAGTAATGTATCATAAGAGACATGATTGCCCAAGCATACATCACGTATGACATTTTGCTGACTAAAATATCTAAACCTTTTGTTTCTATAAGTTAAATCATTTCCCATCTTAAAAAATATAATTTTAGACAATATTATTCATCACAACTTTGTAGATTTTTTACATTCTCTGTTTTAAACCTGCTAAAGAAGATCATAGCTAAGTATTCTAAGTTTGTGCTGAACCCATCAAAATCGGCTCCAGAGTTCAGTACGAAACAATGCTTTCTGATTGGTCCATAAATAATAATGTCATGTTTCTGCCTACGTCCATACGGTTGATTTCGAGTTGACCCGTTCAGAGTTCAACGCGCCAAAAAATGTAAACGTTTTCAAGCCCCCATGTGATCAGGAAAACTCATAAATATGAAACTTCGACGTAACTTAGTCATTGAATCCTCTTTCGAGTAGTTTCTAGTACATTACTTAGCATCTCTCAGTTGCATCTCTGTCTTTGGGAAGAGTGCGCTCAGGGGCTACTAAGTCAAAGGACAGAGTTGCAACTGAGAAAAATTATACTGAGAGGTGCCCAGTCCTGGGTAACAGCTGTCCGAGGCCGCGCCGTCTCGGTACCAGAGAGAAGGATCGGTAGTCACACCGAGGCCAGCGCAACTGACGGTTGCAGGGCCTGTAGGCAATTTTTGATCCTTGCCCGGGTGTCTGCACTCGGGTTCCCACCTTAAAAAGACCTTGTGTCACATATTGTCTCAGTGGAGAGACAGAGTAAATACCGCGAGTCCTTAAAATAATCAACTTGTCACACGAATCCATGAAACCCAACTTCCTCTCTAAAAGTTAATTTTTATTAACATCAACCCGGCTTGTGGAATTCAATTTCTTTTCCGCATCAACTCATCTAGTGGCCAATTCAACCAAGACGTGATTCAGAAGCCAACTCACTCAATATCTTAACAAAATAAAGGAAATCGGAGTCTGTCTATATTTCCAAGATGAGGTATTATGTACATTATTTACATTATTCGGACTAATGTCCTCATCTTTGTCGCCATATTTATCACAACGTATGCTCCGGCCTAGTTCAATACTCGGTTAAGGCAGTGGAGAACTTTCAGAGGGAAATTAGCAGGAGATAACTGATAACTGACATCCACCAAAAACATGGCACGTGGAACTAGAACAGTCTACCCCAGTGAGCGAAATAAAGGATTCAGTTAGAAATTCCAACCACCTGAAGAAGGTCGGAGAGTACAACGACCGAAACGTTGTGATAAATATGGCGACAAAGATGAGGACATTAGTCCGAATAATGTAAATAATGTATATAAAGGAAATCGTAACTATATCAGTCGAAGGGAGACAACTTTACAATAAGTCAAGCAATCTATTTCATTCAATTTCATCATCAACATAAACTGTTTAATTTCTACCAGAGCGATAGCATAACACCCATTATATTACCCTTGATCACGCAACCAAGAACACTAAAGTGTTTTAAACAACTTTATTATATCGTGTGTACTTATTGTTATATATAAAAATATTTTCTGTTAAAACAAATATCTGCCTATTTGATTATTTCTCTTCTTGTTGTCTTTATTGTATTTGATTTAGTAAAGATAGTAGAGGGTTAGTTTGTCGGAGTTAACTCCTCCTTCAGTTCGTAACCCTTTCACCAGGGGTCGCTCTTCGCTGCTATAAATAGCCGCTGACCCTTCGCTTCTCTCTCTTTCTCTCTCAGGCCTTCGCGTCGACACCTGGAGGTAAATCTCTCTTTTTCCTCAGGCTTTCAGCTTACAACCTCGAAATGTAGGCGCTAACAAGGGATAGCGTTTCTCAAAGTGCTGGGAACACGCTAAGCACAATACACACACACACACGCACATACAGAGTATTCACACACACACACACTTTGTCCTTTGTAACTGTTTTCGTGTAACTTGTTATTAATATATATTTGTATACATATATTTTCAGACTTGTGTTTTGTTTATTTTCTTTGCATTCTTTGGACTTAATTAATAGTCCAACATTTTCATGTAGTTGGACCGGTGAGCAGGAAAATCTGAACCCACATGTTTCTTCTACTTCTACTTAACCACATTACAGCTACGGTCCACTACAAGTTTAATTTGGTATTTTCTCACCAATACAGATTGACTAACACACTACAACTTAAACGTAAAAAAACAAAACAAAACAAAACAAACAAAACAATTGTATTATTTCTCAGAATATAAAAGGAAACGAATACTTCAATTCATTTCCAAATATTAGATCCTTGAATAAGTTCTCGCTGATTTTTCATGATAAGTAATGTTTTATTTACAAAAATTAGTAAGAAATATCTCACTGAAAGTATTGTCTATCGCTAGCCACTACTTTTCCCCGTCTTTCTGGCAGCATTTGAATTCCACGTCAGAAAAACAACACGGCTTTTGAGGCTACGCACAAGTCGACTCATATTTTGGCATCTTCATAAAAATGAAAGTGCTGCTCAGCCAGACCATGTGCCATTGATCGGAATAAGTGA